GGTAAATGCATGTCATCGTAACCCAATTGCGTGGATCGATGATCATGATGTCAATCACTGGATTGTCTGGTCCAGACTCGATTATTTACATACCGCCGTCATATAGCTGGATTATTGCTGATGCGGCGTTAAACAACAAACAAACAAACTTGAAATCGGTGACCAGTCCGCATGTCCAGCCCTACCGGTAACATCCACCACTCACACAATTTGTATAAAACAGTAAGTGTTTGATTGAAGCCTGACGCCGTCCTCAGCGGCATTTTCTTACCTGATCGTGAAATGTCAACCAGGCTTTTGTTAAGCGAAATCTCTGAGGACGCATTAAACAAACAAGCAGTGTTTGTGTTATTTGACAAGTAAACACAACCGTATCCCCTCAGAGCAAATATAGAGAAAATAAATAGTTATGAAACATACTCAGCCCGAGGGCTGATAAAACGAAGGGTCTTTGATTAAAATGATATAATGGAATCCCACGATGTATTTCGCTGGACAATCGCTTCAGGCAAATACATGTCTGTGACACGATCAAAGACATATCTGACATATCCCACAATACGTATACATTACCGCATGTGTTAATCAGGTGTTATGTTAACGACAGGTGTTTATTGTATGAGAACGACAAATATTAATCTTCGTGATGAATGGATTAAAAAGTTGTCATATTCTTAAAGCGGATTTGTAGCCGCAAACAGACAGTATGTATTTAATGGGAAACAGTGTTCAGGAATTCCCCATTTTGAGTGTGAGTGAGTTTGGTTTTACGCCGCTTTTAGCAATATTCCAGCAATATCACGGCGGGGGACACGAGAAATGGGCTTCACACATTGTACCCATGTCGGGAATAGAACCCGGGTCTTCGGCGTGACGAGCGAACGCTTTAACCACTAGGCTACACAAACCACAAATGCTTCATGTGTTCACGCCTCTTTGAATAGTTCTTAGTTATCTCACGTTGTCTTAGCTGAATTTGGAGAGAATAATCAAAGTAAAGGAAGTCGAAAGATTATTAAATGTCAAGATGTTAATGTCATTATTACCCAAAAGAGCGAAAGATTGTTTTCAGCAAATGTGGATAGAAATACTAAAAAATAGCATATGTACATATACCTATTCTCATTAAAACAACAATTTATACTCGAAGAATAAATAATGTCTGTTACAATTAAAGACATCGAGTCTCGCTAGCGCAGTTCAGAGCATTATGATTTAAAGATCTATAAAGGTATATTTGAAAAGTCTAATATTTGTACATCTTGTAACCTTAATGCTGTAGAAAATGAGTATCATTTTATGCTTGTGTGTAAACTCTATCTTCAAGAAACAAGTATATTCCAAAGAAGATTACATCTTATCCAAGTATCGATTTGTTTTGCATACTCATGTCAACCTCAAATATTACATTATTACAAAATATTGTAAGAAACACGCATAAATTGTAAATACGTGGAACTATGGGCCTATGGCCTGTCAGGTTGCTATGAATAAACAATTTGAATTTACGGTTATCACATTGGAACCGCCTCCTTGGTCTAGTGGATAGAGCATCTGCCGCGTCATACCAGAGGACGTTAAAAGATACCACTGTCTGGCGATCAACATTAGCATGAAGGGCTAAAACAAGGACTGGTCGGCTCGGCGTTAATATAATGTGACTGAGGGCTAGCGTTTTAAAGCAGGCTTTAGTCAAGACTACTACAAGGAGCCAAACTGGGAAAGGAATTTCTGGAGAGACGCTCTATCCACTAGTCCACGGAAGCGGTTATCAGGACAATGATAAAATAAACGATAAACGTTAATTCGTTTTTCAAATTTAAATTGGTACACAGCTAGCTCCATGAACATATACAATGAAACAAATCAACTAAGAAAATATATTTATTCAAAGAACAGTCGTAGATACATTCAATTAAACTCTTATAATACGTAAGCGGATGAAGGAGATTGGTTTTGCTACCTTGTGATTTCTTAACAGATCTTATCTCTACAGGTGTGATGTTGGTTTGAATATTTGTTAGTGACATATCAAAGTTGTATTTATATTTAAGATCAAGTTGACATGCTGCCTAAACACTGTTCTGTTTTCACGGATGATTTTGGTTGTCCTCCGATGCAAAAACATTCAAGGGTATCCATTCTTCATCACAAAGTAAAAAACGACATCAATTGATACCCGGTATGTATTCGTGCGTGTGTGTATGTGTGGCTGTGTGTTTCTGTATATATGTGAGTTTGAGTGTGTACTTATGTGTGCGTGCGTCTGTATGTGTGTGTAACTGGACATATGTGTGTTTGTAAGTATGTGTGTGTGTCTGCATGTGTTTCTGTTTGTGTAGGTGTGTGTATGTGTGAGAGCGTGTTTGTATGTATGTATGTGCTTGTGGTTATGTAGGTATGTTTTGTTTGTTGGTTAACGCCGCACTCAGCAATAGTCAAGCTATATGACGGCGGTCTGTATGTTTGAGTGCGTGTGTGTGTGTATGTTTGTGTGCGCGAGTGTGTGTACGTTTCTGTTTATGTGTTTGGGTGTATGTATGTGTGTGTGTATGAGCGTGTGTATGTTTGTTAATGTCTGTATTTATGTGGGTATATGTATGTGTGTGTTTATGTGTATGGGTGTGTGTTTGGGTGTATGTATGTGTGTGAGTATGAGTGTGTGTATGTTTGTTAATGTCTGTATTTATGTGGGTATATGTATGTGTGTGTTTATGTGTATGGGTGTGTGTTTGGGTGTATGTATGTGTGTGAGTATGAGTGTGTGTATGTTTGTTAATGTCTGTATTTATGTGGGTATATGTATGTGTGTGTTTATGTGTATGGGTGTGTGTTTGGGTGTATGTATGTGTGTGAGTATGAGCGTGTGTATGTTTGTTAATGTCTGTATTTATGTGGGTATATGTATGTGTGTGTTTATGTGTATGGGTGTGTGTTTGGGTGTATGTATGTGTGTGAGTATGAGCGTGTGTATGTCTGTTAATGTCTGTATTTATGTGGGTATATGTATGTGTGTGTTTATGTGTATGGGTGTGTGTTTGGGTGTATGTATGTGTGTGAGTATGAGCGTGTGTATGTTTGTTCATGTCTGTATTTATGTGGGTATATGTATGTGTGTGTTTATGTGTGTATACATGTGTGTATATCGGAATGTATGTATATATCCTGATGTTCATCACTGGGTTGTCTGGTCCAGACTCGATTATTTACAGACCGCCGTCATATAGCTTGAATATTGCCGAGTGCGGCGTTAAACAACAAACAAACAATCAAACTTATACAAGACACAATCTGCATTGTATACATGTGTACCAAGCACATATAAAATATCATATATGTAATGTATATATATGTACATATAAATAGCATCCCACATACACGAAATCGTGAAATGTATTTAACAAAAATCTAATAAAATATTATATGACTAGCATATTTACATTATGGGTGAAAAATCAATTTGTTTCTTTATTGAGACGGGAAATATATCCCAAACTATCATGAAACAAAAATCTCACAGTGGTTGTTGACTAAGAATAACTTCGTCACAGTTAATCGTGAAGTAAACCTCAGCTCAATATGATAATAGTGATGCAGCGCAAATACAGTCTGAAACCATTCTTTATAACAGGAGCTACATGTTTGCGTATGAACCATGCGCTATAGTCGCTAAGGACTGAGATATCCATTTCGGCGTCATATTTCGCCCCTTTCGTCACACATTTGTTTGTTTCCATGGAGAAACAGTGTACAAACAAATATGTGACGCCACTTTGGATGTTCACTTCACTGAATAAGGACTGCGGTTTCTCCATGTTCTCGTGGCTTCAATCATAAACAATACATGTGTAAGTTAAATAAACAAAACAAAAAAGTCTGGTTTTCCAACTTGAAAAAGTGTCAGATACTCGCTACTCGACTGCTATACCTATATTAATATACCCGCCTTCATATCATTATATACAATGCAACCTCGTTAATCCGGACACCGTTAATGAGGACCACACACACCCTCCCCGTTCAGAAACAAGCATAAAAGACACAATACTAGGTCCCAATGTTTCCTTAATCAATATGGTAATCGGGACGAATTCCTTGAAATCGCAACAATCCGGAATCACGGGGTTGCACTGTACAACAAGTAGACACAGAAACAACAAGAGTTTTTAAACTATTACAGGTTTGCAATTCAAACTGTTTAAGAGTCCAGTTCATTATTGATTACAGAATGGTTTACCGCTAACATACGAAAACTTACTGACAATATTAACTCTTCCCTGTGATCTTGAAAGATAAAATTAAAGGTAATACTGTTTACGGCTATGTTTTTATAATTTGGGAGAGGTCTGTGGACGTCATAATATGATACCGCCTCCCATGAGCTAATTGTTTGTTTGTTTGTTGTTAACGCCAGAGTCACTGGCCCCATGGGCTACTTAAACCAATATAGCAATATCTTGCAATGACTAGATAATACTGACTGATATTGGATTGACTAGAAATATAACCTCTGTTTGATTGAGACGCGTTGATATAAGATGGAAGTTTGAGTGAGTGAGTGAGGGAGTTAGTATAGTTTTACGCCGCTTTTAACAATGTTCCAGCAAATTCAAGACGGAGGACATCAGAAGTTGTCTTTACGCGAGACACTATCCCTCAAAGTATGAAATGACGAAGGAGTTTATAATAAATGATTCCATGGAAAGAGCGGCTTTGTAATGTCACTTTAGCAACACATGTTTCAGGCATCTTTAACGTGCCGGTTTGTGTTTTGATAAATGTGGTGTTGTTTTACGCCGCATTCAGCAATGTTCCAGCTACATCACGTCGTCATCATTTCTTTACGTTTATTATGAGTGAGTGAGTTGGGTTTAACGCCGCTTTTAACATTATTCCAGTTATATCACGGCGTGTCAGCTTAATGTGGGAGAAAAGCTCGAAGTTATGCAAGTCTCGGACGTTTACCACTTCGGTGAAACCCACAAGCACGGGTATGGTGCTGACAACCCTAGAAACATAATCGGGGCGAACCGGGATTCGAACCCACAATCATAGGTTTCTGGCGTGACCAAGGGACGCAACTCTGCACAGCGAATCGCGGCGCCTTAGACGACTCGGCCACAAGTTCTTCATGTGATTATCAAACAGTTGCCGCGATACTGTACCCAAATGAGCGGTTTGTCCAGCGACTCCGGAACCTTGTGCTCGAACACTTTTCCACACTAATTCACTGTAAATATGTTTGTAGAGTAATACAGTTCAGTCTTGTGAACAGTTGTTTCCATAGTTCTGCACACAAGGAAGAAGATAACTGTGAGTATTCCATCATAATGCCATTTATCTTAAGCGTATCATACGTCACAGTTCAGTTTGTCTTGAGAACGGTTCTGTCTACAGTTCCGCACACGTGGTCCAACAAATGTCCGAAGTTTCTTGTGGAAGGCACAATCCTTCTCACTAAGTGGTTGATAGGCCAGCAAATGCTTCACAATCTCCTCGTCACACGGGACATTCAGCATTCCCTCCCTGACCACCATTCCAGCCATGAAGGATCTGTCCACCATCTGACGCTCACTTGCAAACCTGAACACAAACAAAATCCATTCATCGATAACTGACTCCTGCGAGAGAATGATAATAGTCCTGTCACTGTCCTCCACAGCATGAAGGATGTTTTCTTGGACAGCTGCTCCTGGGATGAAACTTTTGTCAGCCAAGATGAAGCTATGACCTTCGGCTTCCATAGGATTCACAATCTTTTCCATCATGAATGGAAAATCTGAATCTGCATACCACACAAAGACGGTTGACCCTTGTTTTGTATCTTCAACCAGGTCAGGCTGAGGCAATGCGGCTGGTTGAATAACCATTGTCATATTAGTGTTACCTTCTTTGTGGATATCTACGTGTATGTCATTCACCGTGGCTGTTTCTGTCAAGTCAGTTTGGTCTTCAAATGCCAGGTTAACTGTTTCCGTGACTTCTTGAGAATTAACTTGTTTGGTGGGCATGTAGTAGAGTAACCGTTTTAAGAAATGATCGCTTGACTCGTTCACATATTTCCCTGCTTTGAAGTATTTATGAAGCTGTTCATTGTCAAAGTTCTTAGGCACAGCATTGTGAAGAATCGGTACCAGAAAGTTGGCCTTTTCCCCTCGGCTCTTCTCGAGACCTGCTTCCACAGCTATTTGCATCATGGAGTCGGATTCGGATTGTTCTCCAAGAACTAAAACAATTCTCTTACTTAAAGCGACACCATGCTGAATATTCTCCTGTAATGAATGTCCAAATTTGAAATCGTTTGCCACATCATACACCTTGTAACGGTGCTTGGTCTTGAGGGGATTCACAACGTTTTCTTGAGCCCAGTCAGACAAATAGGCGGGATATACCACGAAAGCATCATAACACATTATTCCACTGGGGTCTTTCTTGTCAAATGGATGTATACCGGTGTGAACATACAGAAATACTTTGAAGTCATCCCAGTGAATGAACAACACCAGTGACAAGACCAACATAAATAGCACAATCACTGTAGGCACTGCGATAGGCACTGCTACTTTATGAATAGGTATTTCCTCACATATGAAATCTCCATCGGGAACTGCAAAGATATTCCTTCCGATATCTTCAACAAAATTAACACACTTGACGTCAAAAGAATCTTCAACATATTCATGGTTTGCGACGAGCCATTGTTTCATCCACAGCGAATGACAGTCACACTGCAAGGGATTTCCTCCAAGCTTTATACTTTTCAAATTCATCTCCTGGATTTCTGGAGGGATGTTTGCCAAAACATTATCTTGGATATATAACCTCTCTAGCTTCCCCATATGGGAAAGGCATGTCGGATTTAACTTTTCAAGCCCATTTCTCTCTAAATTAAGTTCCACTAATCTCTGACTCAGTTCTCTCCCAATCAAAAAGTTCCTGATGTGGTTGTCTTGAAGCCAAAGCTCAGTGTCTCCAGGAGGAAGAGTTTTTGGAGCTTCGGTCAGTCCAATTCCTCTACAGTCTACAATGTTCAATCTACTAATGGATCGTTCGTAACATGAGCAGTTTAGTGGACATTGTGTTGTGTTCGAAAGGCAATATGTTTCATCGTCTTCAAGAAGCAGCACCTTCCTTCCGGATAGTTCCTGTGGCTGTGAACATGTCCAAGCATCATAAGCAAATTCAGTCCCATAAACCTTAACAGGAAGATCAGTCCCAGCTATTGATCCATTCTCTTTGAGTTCCCTCACATAAGTTGTGAAGTTCAGAATGTTACAGTCACATCTGATAGGATTATTATGAAGAATGAATTTATAATGCTTGAGAAGCAAGCTGATTTTGATAGGTGTGTATTTGTCCGCAGGAGTGAAGGATATCGTTTGGATGCTGCCATCAGACAAGTCAACAGCCCTCAATCCGTCGGATGGCCTATCCAAGTCCGGGTTACCATTACTGACTGAGTCCACCAAGGTATATTTCAGCCGATCATATGGAATTGCATGGTCAAGCTTTGAAAAGTCGAGATCTGTGATGTTGTGTCCTTTCATCCGGATATCATACAGACTTCTCAACAGCAACAGACTCTCCGGAATATGTGTTAGTGGATTATTTTCCAGATCGACTACTTTTAAATTTACTAAAAGTTTCGAGAAGGCGTTACTGTTTATATGCGTCAGCTTGTTGTTCTTGAGGTCCAACTTCTCGAGTTTGAATAATCCATCAAACAACCTATCTCCTAGAAGAGAGAGGCCGTTGTTGCTCAGATCTAGGCGAACTAAGTCATGAAGTCCCTGGAATACACCTGCCTGTAGCTCTGTCAGTTTGTTCCCTTGTAGTTCAAGCTTGCGTAATTCTGATGCTTTCTGAAATAATCCCGGGGGGATACTTTCAAGCTGATTCTGTGCAAGATTAAGATATTGAAGTCCATCCACCTCATAAAACACACCAGGTTGCAACGACTCCAAGTTACATCCTTCCAAGGAAAGCATTTGTAGATACCCTCTAAAGTTGTATCCTGTGAGGTTAAGATGAGGGTTATAGTCCAGCCTAAACTCGCGCCTATATTCACGAGCCGACATTTCAACGATTCCATATGTATACTGATTCTGGAAAAAAGTGGTTCTTGTTAGGTTTCGTGGCAGATCTCGAGTGCTGTTATCCCAAGGAAATTCTGGAGGAATGGTGAAATTGTTCACTGATAGATCCAGTCCTTGTAGTGTCGGCATATGTTGGAATAATTCTGCTGGTAGCTCAGTAAGAGACAGGTTCCTCAGTATCATTTCCGCCATGAACGACAAATGGTCCTTGCAAGCAAAGAAGACTTCCATATCTAGAGAAGGGTATCGCTTGTTTGAGATCATCAATGTTCCAACTCCGTCAAGAGCAGCGCATTGTCGTGGGTCAGATGAAGCCAACAAGGCCGACTGCCAGACGATATTCAACACCGTTACACTTGTGGTATTGGCAATTATATTCAGACTTTCCAAACTCAAATCACAATTCTGAATTTGAACGTACGATATTACTTCTTTTAGAGCAGGATATGTTCCGTTGATGATGATGTTGGTTGGTTTCCCACACAAAAATGCATAAGCTCGTATTCGGGATCCCGAATAATTTTGTTCATCTTTGAAGACATCAGCAGCTTCAATGAAACATTCAGTGTCATTAGACTGATCCCCCTCTACAGATTGAATGACAAACGTGTGAACGTACACGCGTTTTTCCGTCTTGTGGATCATATAGGTAGCGGATATGTTAAAGCTCCTTTCAGCGACTTGGCATCTTTGTATTGATGATACAGGGGTAGAGAGGATGGAGAGGCCTGCCAGGATGACGTACAGCAGTGATACTAACATTGTGTATCAGTGGACCGATCTGTAAGGGAACATAGATGCATTAGAAAAGCGGCGTAAAACCATACTCACTCACTCACTCATAATAAACAAAATTTACTTATACACGAAACCAGTGAGTGAGTGTTTGAGTGAGTGAGTGAGTGAGTGAGTGAGTGAGTGAGTGAGTGAGTGAGAGACCCACGATAATAGGAAAAAAAAAGGAACTTTGACCAGACACACTACTGAACACAGACATTAAACTGCAACTATTAGTGATACCATTGACCTTTTTCAGTGTAATTGCATAAACACCAACAATTGGAAGGCTGGGAGTTGCACTATCCACCAGCCATGGTTAACTGTAGTCATATGAAATATTCTTTAACTTCCTTAGTAGCGGGGCGGTCGGGTAGCCTAGTGGTTAAAGCGTTCGCTCGTCACGCCGAAAACCCGGGTTCGATTCCCGACATGGGTACAATGTGTGAAGCCCATTTCTGGTGTCCCCCGCCGTGATCTTGCTGGAATATTGCCAAAAGCGGCGTAAAACCATACTCACTCACTCCTTAGTAGCATATTTGGACATTGAAAAGGACATTAAACGTCAGTTGGTATTCCATTTATCTAAATCTATCTAGGCTATCATAATTAAAAGCATTGATCAAGTGAGCCACCGAATATTATTAGGTAAACCTACATTTGTATACAGGTTTACATTAAGAATATGCATGTGGGAAGGACAATGCACATATTATTGCCCTATATTTAAGACAAGGTAGGAAAGCCATCGAATGTTAAAATAACTAACAACGACATGAAGTACACCTGTTGTTACATTTGCCAGAACAAAAATGTCACTACTATAGGTGAAACATCAAAGCATAAATATCAATAAATAAAGCGATTTAATTGAAATTATTTCAAAAAGTGTTTTCAACATGTAATGGTGTTTTTTCAGAAGGTCGTCACAAAAACGTCAGAGTGAGTCTGGTTTTACACCGCTAATGTTCCGGACATTATCAGGCCGGGGGACACCTAAAATAGGCTTCACACACTGTATCCAAGTTGTGAATCGAACCAGGGCCTTCGGCTTGACGAGCGAACGCTTTAACCACTAGACTACCTTTAAAGCTCCTGGACATACTGTACCAATATATAGGGAGTCGAAACCGGAGTTCAGGTTCTACTACACCAAATCAGAACCAGTTTGGACAGTGTGGCTGTGATTGGAGGATATTCTGTAAGATTTTTATGTCTTTTAAATGTACATCCATCCAGTTATTAAAACTGACCATGTTTTTCTATATTTAGTACTGTCTTTTTTAACATGATGACTTATGCTGAATGTGACCACAGCTATTTTCAAGTAGGTGACATTTGGTGCGAAAATGGGGGTGGTGTGTTTAGCTTCCGGTACTCGGAAAAGGAGCTGGCTAAGCTAGTCATTTTTATTTTTTTTATTGCTGCTCTAAGGCCAAACTGTGCACACACGTACAGGTAATAGCTGTTGAATGCTTAGTTATTTGAAAAAAAATCATAACGTTACTATAGAAGTCTATGGGAAAACATTTGGTTGTGTGTAACCTTCAGGAGTGAATTGTTTTGTTTCAAACATCAGCTTAACCACAAAGCTACGCACCACCCTCTTATATGAGAACAAGCGTTTCAATATCTTGCCAAACGCATTGCTGGGTGTCACAATCTTACGAGAGTTCACTTGAAGGGTTTAGACCGGCTGCCGCACGAGGTGACCCTTAATCCCGAATTCAGTCACCCGTTGCTATTTAACGTGTACTGCTCTTTTGATTGGCAGACCATTCATACCCTGGGTAGGGCTTGTGCCGCATAGTGTTTGTGACAACAGGACTAAAATAGACTGGGGAAATTTGGGGGATTTTGGTTTAGTTTACGGGGTGATGTTTGTTAGCGTTGAGTGAAATGCTTGATTCTTGTCAGGTCTGATTTGCCTTGCGTGTGAGTTGAAGGGACAGCGCTGGAACATTGGCTGTCTTGTGGTGGGTGGGTTCCTGGGGCGGGGTGGGTGTGTTGCTGAGATGGGGCGGGTGTGTTGCTGAGAGGGGTTGGGTGTGTTGCTGAGACGGGGTGGGTGTGTTGCTAAGACGGGGTGGATGCGTTGCTAAGACGGGGTAGGTTGTGTTGCTGAGACGGGGTGGGTGTGTTGCTGAGACGGGGTGGGGTGTGTTGCTGAGACGGGTTGGGTGTGTTGCTGAGACGGGGTGGGTGTGTTGCTGAGACGGGTTGGGTGTGTTGCTGAGACGGGGTGGGTGTGTTGCTGAGAGGGGGTGAGGTGTGTTGCTGAGACGGGGTGGATGTGTTTCTGAGACGGGGCGGATGTGTTGCTGAGACGGGTTGGGGTGTGTTGCTGAGACGGGGTGGATGCGTTGCTGAGAAGGGGTGGGTGTGTTGCTGAGACGGGGTGGATGTGTTGCTGAGACTGGGTTGGTGTGTTGCTGAGACGGGGTAGGGTGTGTTGCTGAGACGGGGTGGAGGCGTTGCTGAGACGGGGTGGGTGTGTTGCTGAGACGGGGTAGGGTGTGTTGCTGAGACGGGGTGGGTGTGTTGCTTAGACGGGGTGGGTGTGTTGCTGAGACGGGGTGGGTGTGTTGCTGAGACGGGGTGGATGTGTTGCTGAGACGGGGCGGATGTGTTGCTGAGATGGGGTGGATGTGTTGCTGAGACGGGGTAGGGTAAATCTGTATGTTTTACCTGTATTCAGCACATGTGGGAGGTTCTAAAGCGACTATGCTTGTCGTAAAAGGCGACTAACAGGATCGGGTGGTCAGGCTCGCTGACTTGGTTGATGCATGTCATCGATACGTGATCGCTGCTTAAAATATGTCACTGGATTGTCTGTTCCAGACTCGATTATTTACAGACCGCCGTCATACAGCTTGAATATTGCTGAGTACGATGTTATGCAACAAGTAAACAAACACAAAAACAAAATACATGTGTCTAGAGCAGCCTTGTACAGCAGGCCATGGGGGATATGGGTCAAAACCTACCACCGTTACGCTGTGTGTTCGAGACATCAACAGGTCTTGTTGACAAGGAAGCTCAGCGGACACAATACTCACACTAAGTACAGTGTGCGATATCACGAAGAGCTTACCCCAATTATCTCGTCTCCATTCAACGTCCATGAGTTCATTCATGGGTCATCACTGGTTGTGAACTTTAACCCTTTCAACCCTTTTAAGAATGAAGACATGTACATGTCGCGTGTTCATTTTCCGGGATTTTTACTTGGAAATTGCTGCTTAATCACAGCGTGGGAAGGGCATTTGTGCTTTTGTGAGTGCGTGTGTGTTTGTGTATGGTTCGATGTTTTGTAAAGCTATGTTCAATTAAGCAACGCGGCTTTAAGCTAGCAATTATTATTATTATGTAGTTATTTATTTATATACTGTGGTAATTCATTGCAGCGGAGGGGAGGGGGTCATGAGAATATGACAATTTATTTTCAAATAAAGCAATCATAAATGTCATCATTATTGGGGACTGGTCATTTATTCGTTCGTTCGTTCGTTCAGGTTTTTTTATTTATCTTATTTTATTTTTATTTATTTATTTTTCTATTTTATTTTATTTTATTTTATTTTATTTTATTTTATTTATTTTATTTTATTTTATTTTATTTTATTTTATTTTATTTTATTTTATTTTATTTTATTTTATTTTATTTATTTATTTATTTATTTATTTATTTATTTATTTTATTTTATTTTATTTTATTTTAATTTATTTATTGATTTATTGATTTATTTTCTTATTTATTTTTTTATTTTTATTTTATTTTATTTTATTTATTTGTTGGGGGGGGGGGGGGGGGGGGGGGGGGGGGGGGGCGCAGGAGCACTTTTCTTTGTCCGCAAAAAAACAGCATACTCTCTCCAGTCCAGTGTGGCCCAAAAGCCAAGTATTCTAGGGCGCCGCAATTCGCTGCGTGGAGTTGCGTCCCTAGGACACTCCAAAAACCTGTATCGTGGGTTCGAATCCCGACGCGCTCCGATTATATTTCTAGGTTTGTCCGCAGCATACCCATGGTCGTGGGTTTCTGCATAGTGGTAAACGTCTGAGCCCTGCATCACTTCGGGCTTTCCTCCCACATCAAGCTGTCAACGGCCGTGGCATAACTGAAATACTGTTGAAAGCTCAACTCACCCACCCACCCAGGCCACTACGAGTGAGAAGTCAGGGCCCGAAGGTTGGGGTTAACGCTATTTAACATGACCTGACTTTCATCTGATGTAATCAATCACTTTTACTTTAAAAACAACCTTCAGTTATATAGAAATATATATATCGGTTATAAACAATATTGTTTAAAATCAAAGTAACACCGATATTTGAAATATTTGAAAGTGATTATATCTATGTCTGTATCGATGTCCACCTTTCCCTCTCATTCTCTCTGTCTCCTCAACCCTTCCCTCTCTCATTCTCTCTGTCTCCTCAACCCTTCCCTCTCTCATTCTCTCTGTCTCCTTAACCCGTCCCTCTCTCATTCTCTCTGTCTCCTCAACCCTTCCCTCTCTCATTCTCTCTGTCTCCTCAACCCTTCCCTCTCTCATTCTCCCTGCCTCCCTCCACCTTTCCCTCTCATTCTCTCTGTCTCCTCAACCCTTCCATCTCTCATTTTCTGTCTCCTCAACCCTTCCCTCTCTCATTCTCTCTGTCTCCCTCCACCTTTCCCTCTCATTCTCTCTGTACCTGAACCCGTCCCTCTCTCATTCTCTCTGGCTCCTCAACTCTTCCCTCTCTCATTCTCGCGGTCTCTCTCAACCTTTCACTCTCTCATTCTCTCTGTCTCCCTCCATCTTTCCCTCTCATTCTCTCTGTACCTTAACCCGTCCCTCTCTCATTCTCTCTGGCTCCTCAACTCTTCCCTCTCTCATTCTCGCGGTCTCTCTCAACCTTTCACTCTCTCATTCTCTCTGTCTCCCTCCATCTTTCCCTCTCATTCTCTCTGTACCTTAACCCGTCCCTCTCTCATTCTCTCTGGCTCCTCAACTCTTCCCT